ATTACAGATATCTCAGTTTTCTCAGATTTGTCATTTTTGGGATCTTCATTGCATAGACTCATGTGACCATGCAATTTTCCTTTCACAATACACATCAAGAAGTTTTGAATTATGTTTTAAAAAAAGAATATCATGAATGTAACTTGGACTTAACCTGTTTTGTTTTTCAGTAATAATGTTTCCCGCATCTGAAAACAATCTTTCGGAAGGAACTGATGATGCAGATATTGCCAGATACTTTCGTACCTGTTCAGCATGACTTGGTAGCATCCTACCATACAACTTCCACCAATTAAGTGGATTTTCTGTTTTATACATTGGATCGTTTAGAGAATGTGTCAGAATTGGTAACATTGTGGCATATAATTATATCTCATTTTCTATGGACAAAACATAATCTTCGCTTATATCATCGAAAAAATTATTTCTATTTGAATTTATGTATACAGTGAGTGTTGCACTAGGTGAGTCATCTGTTTCCAACATTTGTCGTACTTCCATCATAACACCTGCCTGTTCCTTAGCATTTAAAAATTTCAGTTTTTTAAATTGAGGGTCGAAATATGAGGCAAAAGACCCCATCATCAAAATATTCTGCCAGCGTATTTCTATCTGTTCACTAATACGGTCTCTAATACTTGTCACAATCGTAGGTAAGTTATGTTGAGATATAAATTGAGTAAGATGATTTCGGATTTTGTGTATGGCGGGGTACATCATAGATAGTGTTGGATAATGGCTTCCGCCAATAATGTCTATCAATTGAGCAAATGGCTTCAACAATTCTACTAAATCACTTAACGCTAACCATTCGTCATTGCTTAATAAGAGGTTTTCTAGATTATTTCCATCATTTCGAACTGAATATTCATTATCGTTTTTAAGAACGGCAACCAAAGAATATACAGCATTACGGAGCATGAGAAGACGCTATAGCACATGATAAGTTGAATTCCATCTCATTTTTACGTCAGTAATAGGTTCAAGAATTTTTGTTTGTACATTATCATCGATCATTATCTGCTGCACACGCTGCAATATTTCACGGTATTTATCACGATTCACAAGGGCATTATTCAATGCCATAGCTTTACTAGTGAGTTTCCGACATTGTTTGAGACCTTCATTTATTGCTAGCTGTAGAGTATATGCATAACAGATAAGGTGTTGAATATTGAGTTGTTATAGCACGGCAGTCATATTGGCTGCATTGTCACTTACTCCCGCAATGACATTATCTTCTATACCCCACTTCTTAAATAACATATGAAGGAACTCGGCAATTCTGATGGCTGAATGTCCATATGGAAATTCTTCTATAGTTAGGAGTCCTTGCTGCAGCTCGAAGTCGGAAGTAATCCAGTGGATTGTTACGCCAATATATGGAGTGTGAAACTGCGTCTAGAGGTCTGTTGTAAAAGTACATGTTTTCATTGAACATTTGATTTCATTTCGTAGACGTTCTTCGGTAAACACAACACATTCATGTAGTTTTTTCTTTATGGTATTAATACAAGATACCGGATACTGCCTATTCAGGAATTCATATAAACTTATGAATGTTGGTGTATTGACGATGTTAATAGGCTGTAAGTCTTCAACAATCCACTGCAGCAATCTGGTTGTAATATGACGATACTGCATATCAGTTGGTTTGTATAGTTTTGCTGTATTGATGCAATCTTCTATTGTCTGTTGGTTTTTATTTAAGGCTACATTTTTCATAGTTTCAGCAGAATTGTAGACTGTCATTATTCTGTGTACTTTGCTTAGATGATTTCCAATGTTAGTCATAGAGCAGGATGACTTGAAGCGATTTCCACATGGAATGCTTTGACCGTTTTTAACCACCAATATTTGACAGTATCTATAACCATCGATGATGGTTTTATCTACATAATCCCATACCCAGCTACTATTATAGTCTCTGCATTGCACATGTTTAATTGTCTATAGCAGCTGGACAGGAGGTTGGTGATCCGAATAAGATGTAGAGGGGAGACTTGTAGATGGTGAAGAACTTGGTGAGTGTAGAGGTGACGAGACAGATGGTGTTAAATATTTTTCATTATAATTAGAAGAGGTCGATGGAGAAAAAGATTCATAGGGTGGAATTGATTGTGTGGATGTGTATTCACTTTGTTGATGTCTAATGGTTGTAGTATTAGTTGTGTTTGGGGTATATTCAATAAAACATCTTAATCTGCTTTTTCGTCAGCTTGACATAGTATTTAGTTAATAGTTCGAGTGTATGTATAGTAATTGACTCTATTAAATTATGGTATAGTTCTGATATATAACTACATTTCCTCCATTTACATTCCCCACCCCTTGCTAATAAAGTACGCGAAACTCCCCACCCATTGCTAATAAAGTACGCGAAACTCTCCACCCATTGCTAATAAAGTACGCGAAACTCTCCACCCCTTACTATAGCGGGCTTTCATCATGATTGGTTTATTTTTATAGATCATTTCATGATTTTTATGATACTTATAAAGTTCATTAAATTGTTTTATATTATCTAGCAAAAAAAAAATATAATAAAATGTCTGCACAAGAATAAATCTACGAAGTTAGCTCTAACACTAAGAAGGGAAAAAGAAAAGCTCGTTACTGTGACTTGAAAGGTTATGATGAAGTTGCTTGTGATTACGATCTCCATGGCACTTCAATCGTAAATGATCAAATAATTATACCAGCATCAAGCTATCTGACTCTACGGTAGGTGAATTATCGACTTTGTTTTACTTCCAGCTCATGTGATTTCTCTGCATTTTCAGAACTGTCGTTAGTCATCTTACTGGAATCGAATTTGTAAGCCTCGTTCCTCTGTGCTAGCTGGATGCCGTACGCGAGAAGATCATCTCACCCAGCATACAAAGAAGAGAAAATGGCGGAATAGCATTGGCCATTTCTTTTAATAAAAAAATAAATGAAATGAAAAAGGAAAGAAATAAAGAACGAAAAGAGAGGAAAGAGACCGCTTACCTCTAAATAAGTCATAAGCCCCGAAGATACTTGCCGAGATACTTGCCTGTAGACATGAAAATGTGCGTTTATCTATTACGAATCAGACTATATTGACCATTTCATATCATTTCCTCGTATATTACATTCTACATGGCTGAGGTTCCTGTAGCATATTGAAGAGAACTTAAAGAGGGGCTTACCACGAAAATAGTCAATTATAACTTTAAGATGGCCGGGGTATGCTGGTTTCAATGCATGACAGATACTCGCCAAGCAAACTTGTTAATTATAAATCCTTTCCTGTTTCAACTTCGTTGTCTACGTACAATTCGGTCGCCGCACGCTTTTTTGATGAGTTGCCATGTGCATCGACTTTCATTGTCTCCACTCTTTTTTGTAAAGTTCACATCGTCTCGCCGCCTGGTGTCCTCGGAAAATCCTCCTCTACGTCTTCAGCAACTTTGTCATGCCACCTGATCGATTCAGATTTTCCTCAGTAAAATTTGTAAATGTCCCATTGTTTGACTAAAACATCGAATTACAAAAAAATCCTACTTCTTTTTTGATCGAACCATCGTTTTGTCGCCTTCGTCTGAGGAATCAGTTTGAGTCTGAAAGAAAAATAATAATAATAAAAAAGAAGGAGGAGTAGGAAAAAAAAAAACTCAAGATGCATAAAGACCGAAAATCATTATTTTATTATGACGAGATGATTTACAAAAATTGGCCAATCATAATAAAGCCCGCTATACTATGTATACCTTATTTAGTAAATTTTTATTAACTTAGCTGACTGCCTTATATAGTAAATTTTTCATCAGCCTGGGTCAGTCATAAACCATATCAGCCAGGCCGGTCCAGCCATAGGTGACTTCTATCACTAATTATTATTACTTTGTATTTTAAATATATAGAAAAAAAAATAATATATTTTTTTTTATTTTTTTAAAATTTAAATAATTATTTATTTATTAATATTTTATTAATTAATAATTACAGTACAATTATAATATTGCAACATAAATAAAAAAACTCTTTTCCATATACAACTCCTTTTGAAAAATTATCTTTTTAAAAAATCTTCTTTCTCCCAAGAAACTTTGACTAACAGATTATATTTTTGAAAATGATATAATCCTAAGGATTGCTATTAAGTAACAAGAGTTTCAGCAATAATCCTTGGGAATCAGAAATGATTTCACTCAAGAAGGTCTAATACTTGTAAAGGTATTGATTAAATAGCTTGATCATTAAAAGATAAATAAAAAAAATTTTTATATTTAGATCTTTCCTCATTTTAAACAATGCAAATTTTAAAAATATTCTTTTTTTTCAATAATTACATATCTATTAAGAGACAATATTTTATTTTTTCAAAGTTTTTGTTTTCTACTGATAATAACTAATAAAAGATTCTTTATATCTTCTGATTAGTTATTAGCTCTTGCCAATATTTTATATTCAAAACTGTCCAAATTTTTATATAAAAATTTTCTTATACAAAAAATTAAAATCAATTTATTTCTATCAAAAAATCTATAATATATAAAACACTAATCATATTTTGTACTATCCACTTATATCAAAACAACACAACAACCTATTGAATTGAGAAAGCATGTGACCAGTACCTTGTATAGGTTCCAATATGGCTTCAACAATTAATAACAACAAAACAATATATCAAAGTATCAAAACAAATAATAATATTCAATCCATCAATATAAAACATAACCAATCATTAGATAAAAATCACTAAAATTTACACTTCCAAACACAAATCCAAAAGTTACATGTGGCTTGCATAATGCTAACATCTAATTGAATTTATATACATATGTTTAGAAACTACTTCTAATAGTGATTACAATACTTTTTTTTTTTTTTTTTTAATAATAGAACAGGTATTAGATACCAACTGTTTATTAATATATAGTATATAATATCACAATTACATCAAACATCTTCTGTAATACTACACTATAGCTTAACATCAACCAGCGGTCAAAACTGGAGCATTCACTAGGGAGTATGTCAAAATACCTTAAGGCCCCTCTGCCACAAGGTTAAGGTGAGTGAAAAGGTATGAAGTGATAAGTAACCTTGGGAAATAGTCAGCAGTATTTAACACCCTTATACAAGAAATGGACTGATAGGTTAGGTGGTTTAAACTAGTGGTAGGACTTCCATCCCCTAGATA